TCTTCACATGAACTTCTGAAACAATATCAACATCCCATTACACTTAACACAGCAAGCAATCCAAATGTTATACCATTATCACTAACAAACACTCCATTTCTCTTTTGCTCGGGTAAAAAGAAATCAAGAAAAAAGAAAAAGGCTGGACGTATTTAAGTGTCTTTACTTACCTCTACTTTCTTTTATTACTGATGTACTGCTTCATACTACGATCTTTTATCTTAGACAGTACCTTTCTTTTGTTTGGGTTCAGTTTTGGAAGTTTTTTTATTACTGACGTTAGTTATGATATCAGCAGACAAATCAAGAATTTAGAGAAGGCGACAGGGTTAGGGTTTCACGAGGACATTAACAGTCTTACTGATATTCTAAAAAAGAGTCTTTGCCCTGCTCATTTAATCGAGAAGATTATAAACCGTTACATCACTGGGACCCAAAACAATCATCATCCCCGGGATTCCCTTCCTACCACTTCACCTACGTTCTACTTTAAGCTACCCTACATAGGCCGCTTCTCTGCTATCACTCAAAAAAAGATCCGCCATTTTATTAAGCGCTATCGCAATGACTTGGATATCAAACTGGTTGTCTCTTCCTTTAAAATCGGTAACTTGTTTGGTGTGAAAGACCCTGTCCCTGACGAGCTCCGTTCACGTGTGGTTTATAAGTTTGTATGTGCTGTCTGTAATACCTGTTTCGTCGGTGAAACCTTCCGGCATTTTTCCACACGTGTTAGAGAGCACTTAGTCAGTGACAGGGCCTCACACATTTTCAGGCATCTGAAAGTTTCTCCACATTGTCGCGCTTTGTGGTCTAAAGATAATTTCCATGTTTTAGATCACGCCTCCACCAGCTTTCAGCTCAAGATAAAAGAGGCTATTCATATTCAAAGAGAACAACCATCTTTGAATCAGCAATTACAACATGTAAATCTAAAACTATCTTTTTAATTCTCACACTTTCATGCTTTGTCTCTTTTCTTGTTGTCACTATTCATCTTAATTAGCATTGTTCTACTTACTTTATAATTGAACTTTCAACGCTTTGTAGGGCAATTACCTGAAGATGGCAGAAGTTTCTGTCGAAGCATGTCTTACTAACTCAAAAGTGTTGTCGCTTTCTCTGATGTCAGTTATATTTATACGACGTGCTGCAATTTCTCATTCTCGTGGTATTTGATTACTTTCGCAATTTTATAGTGCTCTATGATATTTTTATCTTAGAAAGTACCTTTCTTTTATTTAGTTTCGGTTTTAGAATTTTTCTATTACTGATGTAAGTTATATTTAATTATTATGAATATCAATATAAAATTAAAATAAACTTTTATCAAATTGGGCTACATTTTGCCGTTTGTACACTTCAACAATTGAAGGCAGCTCGGCCATTGCACTATTTCAAGCAGTTTAGCTCTCTTCCCTAGTTTCACTATATAAGCAGTTTAACCATTTAAGCCAGTTATCCATTTTTTCCAGGTTAATTAATGAACCTAGAGTGGCAATTCGAATAACTTTAACCAATTAAGGAAGACTGTGCAATTTGTGCGGTTTAGCTGTCTTAGTTACCCTGACTATTTAACGAGATAGCCAATCAAGCCTCATTGTGAAGTTAGTGAAGTTGATCCTATCAAGCTAGTTATACATTTTGTCGGGTTGAACCAATTAACCTAGCCTGAGCATTTGAACTACTTTGACAATTTGAGATAGACAGTGTAATTTGTGCATTCTAACAGTTTTCGCTAGTTTGATTATTTTACCATAATAACCAGTAAAACTAGATTGAGAATTTTGTGCAGTTGAACTTATTAGGCTAATTAGGCATTTTGTCCCCTTCAACAATTGAAGTTAGTTTGAACATCTGAGCTAGTTAAACCGGTTTAGATAGATCATGTAATTTGTGCAGTTAAGTTATTTTGGATAGTCTTACTAACCAATAAAATAGTCAAACCACCGAGGATAGCTAGATACACATAGTTCAAATGATCAAACTGGCTTCGGTGGTTTAACAAAAAAAAAATGCATAGCTAGCTTAATCATTCAACTGCACAATCTAGCTGACACGGTTTAAGTGGTTAACCAGTCAAAGATCAACTGAGAAGAATTGCACAATCTTTCTCAACTGGTTGGAGTACTTTAAATGGTCATTTAAAATAGCCAAACTATTTTAATTGATTCGACCTGATTCAAACCATGGCAGAGAGTTAAACTGCACAAATTGCAATAGTCAAGACCATTATTCAGATAGTAATGATAGTTATGACAGTAGCTTTATAGATAAAAGTGAACTGGACGATGATGCTCATTACTTTGATGACTAGGATAATATTTATGCAAAATAGTTATACAAAATATACAAGATATTTTAATGATGGCATATATTAGGAGCAGAAGAGAAATTACAGAATATCAAATATAATCTGAGGAAACCAAGGATAAGCCCTATTAATATTTAAACATGAAATATCTATGTAATATCATCATTTAATCTATTGCAATAAAATAATTAAAGATAAATTGAATCAAGTAATGTGTCCCTTCCGTTAAAAGCAAATGAAGGAACGGTCAGTCATAAAAGGGAAATGCTAAGAGAAACAGTGCTTGGAGAATAAGGACTATGTGATTGTGTGCACCAATTGCAGGCAAAATAGATGGCTATGAACCAACAAAAGAGTCTTGTAGCTTCCATGATTACATTGTAAAATAATAGATCTGTCAACATATCTCAAGAAATACTATTTTGATGAGGTAATATCTAATCTAACCAAAAAGTATGACATAATAATAACCACAAAGGATCATAGCAGACTTTGAAAATAGAAATTATGTATTACCACAGATCAATGGTGATAGAAAGCGGATGGCTAATATAAATTTTATTATGATAGTAAATGATATGCAATCAATATAGATTACATAAAAATGACCAAATAAAAAAAAACCCTTTAATATTATCACAACCACTGTAACAATATATTAAAAGTCATACTTAATAAATGACTCATACTTAATAATAATAATAACAATAAATAAGTCATACTTAATAAATAACTCATCTCAAGTAAACTACTTCTTATACTGTTGCTCAAAAGCATCGACAAAAGAACACATGTCTATGATAATATCATTCACGGTTGTCAATGGGTGCAAATAACTCTCTTTATCAAATTGCACTCGTCTTAGAAAGGACCTAAATTCAATGACTGTCATCACATAGGTAGTAAAAGCAAATCCACATAATTTAATCTTTTATTTCCCCGTGTTTTTTTATATCACACCATTACCAGGTGTAATGCGAAGTACAATGGGATTCGTTGTTACCCTTCCAGCTATAGTTCCACCGACTATTAAACAAGAGAATGACAAATTGGATAGCAGATTTAGTTTCTTGAACATCTTATCGGCTTTTTTAAGGAGCCGAAGCTTCTTATGACAGTATTTGTATAATGACATAATTTTATTTATTGCGTTTTTGCTTAGTGATTTATCTCTGCAATTGACGTCCAGAACACTCCTTTTTGAAGCTCATACATAATACGTTTATATTAGTTGGATAGAAATGTGTTGAAGGCCCCTTGCGACCATATCTTTAATGAAATTCATATGTTCCATCCCCATCAAACATTAATTTCTCACTACGTACTGTGAAATGTGAATCATTAGAAACTGCGTAATTTGATCTTGACTTCCAGAATTTGGTTTCATTTTCATTATCATGACCCATTTCATAGTTAAAAAAACATAAAGGTACAAATATGTTGTTTCTTGTTTAACACCATCCACATGTGATTTATTTGCAGTATCATTACTATTTGTTGGCGTAGCTAAATTGATTTTTTCATTATTGGACATATCAAAATCAGCGCACATTGGTTTTGTTCAATCAGTTTTCTATAAATTGTTTGTTCGTGTCCACTTACTATTTATTTAGAGCATCATTGGCATCAATTGGTGTGGCTAAATGGACTATTTTACTATTAACCATAATGAGATCAGTAGCCATTGCAGTCTTTCCGTCAGACCAAATATCTATTAAGAGTGTCATCAGTTTAGTCTGAAGAGTGTTCTGTAGATGTAGAGGGAAAGCATAATTCAAACACCATTGTATATTAACCAGCTGTAAGTTCATATATGTTTTGTGCTATCCAAATGGAGTTTCATTTCTTAGGTTTTTTTATTCAACTGATGAAAGTCTTGATTAATGAATCTAACCCCTGCAATGTCATCTTCATTACTGAACTGCCCACTGTTATTCATGATATATGAAAATTGTTTACAAATCTGCACCACCAACAGACAGATTTAATCTGTTATTAACGTACTTCTGATAGTTCTAATAGTTGTGTGCCTGTGCCTGTGCCTGTTTGACATTAATTATACTTCTAATCTTCATATTCAAATAACCAGTCATCACTCTTGTACCATCAGTTTTTTATTTTATCAACATACCTTTTATTGCTTCCATTTGTTGCACTTGTTGAGTCTGCTACTTTACTCACCTTATTGCCTCTCATGACAAAACCTTTTGATGTGTCTAAAGTAAAGGTTTTGCTGTCAACATATTTCTTTTCAACAACATACTTATCACTGTTGTCTCTGCTGCAATAATCTAGTATTAATAGCCTGCTTTGTAATGTTTGGGGTCACAGATTGTCCATATCTATTTTCTTGTCTGTTGTGTCTTTCATCTGCCCCAAGGTTACAGCTTCATTATCATTATGTGCTCTAATGAGATCATAAATGGTCCTTCCATCTGCATCCCATCTGTTACTACTTAGCATTTTCAATCACTTTTTTCCGCATGTTGTCTCACAAACTACCTTATTAATAGCATCATTATTTGAACTGGCTTATACAAGTTCCTAATACGGTTGTTATTCATTTTTATGTCACCTTGGATTCTTTTTTATTGCTGGCATCGGCTGCACCTGATGGATCCCCAAGATAAACAACGTTTTTACCGTTCATATGCCAATTACCAGTCATTATCTGAGTTCCATCCGATTATGAAACAGTTGAAAGGTCTGCAGAATCACCACTACCAGATGGCCCCTGTGGTCCTCTATCACCTTTATCACGTTTAGGTCCCTGTGCTCCAGTGTCCCCTTTATCACCATTTCGACCTGTAACACCACTGTCAACTTTATCACCCTTGGGACCTTGAGGACTTGTGTCTCCTTTGTCACCTTTTGGACCCTGAGGACCAATATCTCCCTTTGATCCTTGTCTATGGTCACCTTTAGGACCCTCAGACCCAGCACCACCACTACCATATGGCCCTTGTGCACCAGTATCACCCTTGGGGCCTTTTGCACCAGTATCTACCTTTTCACCCTCATATCCCTCTGCCCCTGTGCACCAGTATCTCCTTTTAGGCCTCCATCTCCTTTGTCTCTTTTTTGGACCAGTACCACCCTTATCACCTTTTGGCCCTGGTTGCCCTGCTGGTCCTTCAACATCTTCCACAGTTGGACCTAATTTGCTATGATTTCCAATAAATACACCCATTTTAAAATGTTGTTTTATGAATTTTCATTATAAGCATAATCAGTGGAGGAAAACACTTTTACGATGTTATAACATGTCGTCCCCATACTGTGGACATTCATGTAATACAAACAATAGTATCCACATAAGACACTGACGCACTGTGTGCTGTTATACACATAATTGGGATTTAATGTATTGAACACCTTTATAACCTCTTTTGAACAATTGAGACCAAAATTGCCCAAGTATTTAATTATCTCTTTTGATTTTTATAGCAACCCAATGTGTACCACCACCCACACTGTCATCAAAATTATCCTATCCTTTGCTTATCACTTATTTGATCTCTGAAAAACACAGCCAGCACTGCTTTTATTTAGGGCATATGAAAGGCACAACAGACAAGAAAACAGATATGGACAATCTGTTACCCCAAACATGAAAAAATCAGGTTATTAATACTAGATTATGGCAGCAGTGATAACAGTGATAAGGATGTGGTTGATAAGAAATATGTTGACGGCAAAACCTTTACTTTAGACGCTTAAAAGGTCTTGATATGAAAGACAGTAAGGCGATTAATGTAGAAGACCCAACAATTGCAACAGATAGAAGAACTAAAAGGTATGTTGATACAAAAACAAGCAATTTTTTGAAAACCAATGGAAGAAGAGTAATGACTAGTAATTTGAATATGAAGAACAGAAATACAATTAATGTCAAACAGGCACAGGCACATGAAAGTACACATGCTGCTGATGTTAATTTTGCCAGTGCAACTATCAAAAAAGGTTAATTCACAAATGACCACTAATTATCAGATATATGTTAATAACAGATTAAATCTGTTTGTTGGTAGTCCAGATTTGTAAAACATTTTCATAGATAATGAAATAAAAGTGGGCAGTTCGGTGATGAAGATGACATTACCCGGGTTAAATTCATTAATCAAGCCTTTCATCAAATTCCATTTGCAAAGCGCAAAACATGAATATACAGTTCTACTTTCATTAGCTTTCACTTTGCATCTATTGCCCATTCATTAGTTGACACATCAGCCGCAAGTAGTATCGAGACAATTTCCTGGGTATCAACTCATAAATCTGCCGATTGTACCAGATCATTGCTATATCTACACAAGTACAATGGTGTAATACCTTAATATCTAATGAAGAAAAAGTCAAGTGTGGCTTATGCACAAGATTTAGTCATTCGTGTCATAGTTTATGGCATCTTGTGTGGTATAAAAAGTTTGAAATAACTAATGGTACTCTTAATTTTATCACACTGGTTAAAATGACCGAAGAGTTAAAAATACAAGATGCAGTCAATAATGATAATCCTATTACAATGAAAGTGTTTGATGATAAAAGCGAAATTGTTTATTTTTATTGTAATAACCTTTCACATAATAATAGTTACACGGTAGGGTTTGTCACAAGTGGAACTAATGTTTCAAAATCAAATAGCGCAAATTTCTTTGGCCACTGATTTTATTATGGCAAATAGTAAAATAATTCATTTGATAAATGAATTTAAAAAAATTAATCTAGCTACATTAACTAATGGTAAATGATGCTGCAAATAAATCACATGTGGATGGTGTTAAACAAGCAGCAACATATTTGTACCTTTATGTTTTCTGCATCTACAGAACACTCTTCAGACTAAACTGATGACACTCTTAATAGATATTTGGTCTGATGGAAAGGCTGCAATGGCTACTGGTCTCATTATGGTTAATAATAAAATAATCCATTTAGCCACACCAATTGATGCCAATGATGCTCTAAATAAATAGTAAGTGGACACGAACAAACAATTTATAGAAACTGATTGAACAAAACCAATGTGCGCTGATTTTAGTATGTCCAATAATGAAAAAATCAATTTAGCTACGCCAACAAATAGTAATGATACTGCAAATAAATCGCATGTGGATGGTGTTAAACAAGCAGCAACATTGGGTTTGTACCTGTATACTTTTTTAATTATGAATTGGGTCATGATAACAAAAATGAAACCAAATTCTGAAAGTCAGGATCAAAATATGCAGTTTCCAATAATTTACATTTCACATTATACAGTGAGAAATTAATGTTTGATGTGGATGGCACATATGAATTTCATTGAAGATATGGTCGCAAGGGACTTCCAACACATTTCTAGTACAAAGCATATGATACTTCTGGGCCATTAGTAAGCGATACAGTGTAATTACACAAAACACACATAATAAATAGATAGATGTTACATTTTTGGAATATTTGAAACATTTACCAGTAATTCCATATCACTCGGTGTAGATAATGACCCTCTCAATGATGGTCAATGGTGCACAATTAATAATAAAAAAAATATCTGACATATAAACATGCTATACGTGTGCTTCAAAAAGAGAAGTGTTATAAACTTCAATCATAAAGATAGCTCACTAAACAAAAACGCAATAAATGAAGTTGCATCATTATACAAATACTGTCATAAGAAGCTTCGATTGTTACAGAAAGCCTAGAGGTCCAAGAAACTAAATCTGCTTTGCAATTTGTCATCGTCTTGTTTAATTGTAAGAATTACTATGGCTGGAAGGGTACCAAAGAGTCCCATCGTACTTGGCATTATACCTGGTAGTGGTTTGGCATAAAAAACGTATTGAGATATTAAAGATTTTAAGAAGAAGATCGAATTATGTTGATTTGCTTTTACCATCTATTTAAAGACACCCACTGATTTAAGGTCTTTTTTAAGAGGAGTGTCATTTGATAACGAGAGTTATTTGGACCAATTCAAAGCTGTAGATAATTTGAGCAACAGTACAAGTAATTTACTTGTGATGAATTATCTATTAAGTATTATGTTGTAGTCATTACTAATTAGTTTCAATGACCATTTAAAGTACTCCACCAGTTGAGAAAGATTGAACAAGTTTTCTCAGTTGACCTTTGACTGATAAACGAGCTAAACCATTTCAGCTGGATTGTCCAGATTGTGCAGTTAGACTGATTAAGCTAGCATGCACTTTTTTTCAGTATAACCAACTAGGGCAGTTTTCATTTGATGTAATTCAAGCAATGGAGATAGATTGTTCAATTTGTGTATTTAGCTATCTTCGCTGGTTTAACTATTTTACTATAGAAAACCTATATAACTATAGAAGAAAACTATAGAAAACCGCCAAACTTCATAAATTTTCACTATCTATCTCAACTGGTTGAACTAGTTCAAATGGTCAGATTAACTTCAATTGTTGCAGAGGACAAAATGCATAACCAGCTTGATAGGTCGAACTGCATAAACTTCTCAATCTAGTTGAACTTGTTAAAGTAGTTAAATAATTCAACTAGCGAAAACGGAAAGAGTGCACAAATTACACTGTCTTACTCAAATGGTCGATGTAGTTCAAATGCTTAAAGTAGGTTAATTGGTTCAACCACAAAAAGTGCATAACTAACTTGACAGGATTAACTGTACCAACTACACAATCAAGCCTAATTGGTTATACTCGTTAAATAGTCAAACTAGCTAAGACAGTTAAACTGCAAAAATTGTACAGTTTATCTAAATTGGTTAAAGCTGTTCGAATGGCTACTCCAGGTTCAATGGTTCAACTGGACAAAATGCATTACTGGCTAAGATAGTTGAACTGGTTAAAAAGTCAAACTAGGGAAGACAGCTAAACTGCTTAAACTAGTGCAATGGTCGAACTATCTTCGATTCTTGAAGTGCAAAAACGGCAAAATGTAGCCAAATTTGTTTAAAAAGTTAAAATGATCAAAATAGCTTTCTTAGTTAAACCAAGTGAAGACAGTTATATGCAAATATCGGCGTTACTGCACAAACTGCACAAACTACACAATCTAGCTGAAATGGTTATTGTGGTTAAATAGGCAAACTAGGAATAGCAGTCAAACTGAACAAATTGCACAATTAACCTTAATTGGTTAAAAAAAAGTTCAATGGTCCATCTAGCTTAAATGGGTCGACAAGACAAATTTCAGAACTTTCTGATTTGATAAAACTGGAATAACCAATAAGTAGCCTAAATGGTTTGACTGGCTAAATATGAATCGAGCGATCACAGTTTGACCATTTTAAACTACTTTCACCAATAAAGATGCATTGTGCTATTTGTGAAGTTCAAATGGTTTCGGCAGTACTACTACTTAATCATATGAACCAATCCACCTAGTTTGATTATCTTAACTGGTTAAACCAATTAAACCTGAGCAAAACTGCACAAATTGCAAAATTTACCTTAATTGGTGGAAGTGATTCACATAGTCAAACTAGCTTAAATGGTTTAACTAAAAATATATAAGTACGATATGCACTTTGTCCGGTTCAACTGTTTTCAACTGAACAAAGTGCATAACCAGTATAATCCATTCAAGTGCACAATTTGAACAATTTAGCTCAAATACGGTCTAACAGTCGAACTAAGGTCAACTGAAAAACATTGTACGATCTATATACACTAGTTGAAGTTCTTTAAATGGTCAAATTAACTTCAAGGAATAAACGGCACAAACTGCAGAATCTAGCTGAATTGCTTGAATTAGTTAAAATACTCAAACTAGTTTGACTATAAAAACCAATTAAACTAATTAAGCTCTACAACCCAGTAAGCCTCTGACCATTTTCGCTAGCTGAACTAAGGCAAGTTGTGCAGTTAAACCATTTCAGCTAGGTGTGCATTTTGTCCAGTTAAATCTATTCAGTTAGTTTGACCATATTAACGACTTTAAACCATTCAATATAGATTGTGCAATTTCTGCAGTTTCTCCGTTTTCGCCAGTTTGATTATTTAACCAGGTCAACCAACTAAGCTTGATAGAAAAGTTTGTCCAGTTGAACCTATTAGGGCTGTTTATTGAACAATTTCAGGTAGTTTAACCATTTGAACAATTTTAACCAGTGAAAAGAGATTTTGCAATTTTACCGTTTTGGATAGTTTGACTAATTGTTTAAATAGCAAAACCAGCGAAGATAGTTAAATACACAAGTAGTTCAAGTAGTGAAACCAGTTTAAAAAGCTTAACCGGACAAAATGCATAACTAGGTTAAATAATTCAAACGGTGAAATAGTCAAACTATCAAAAACAGTATAACTGCGCAGTCTATCGAATCTATGTCAAGAGATTAGACTAGTTCAAATGGTCAATCAAGCTGAAACTATTCGAGTGGACAAAATTCAGAACTATTTTAAATGGTTAAACTAGACAGAACGCATAAGTAGCTTAACTGACTCAGTCGGCTAAATTTCAATCAAACTGTACAAATCGCACAATCTATATTGTTGGTGGGAGTAGTTCACATGGTCAAACTATCTTAAATACTTTAACTGGAGAAAATGCTTGACTAGCTTGATAGCATCAACTGCACAAACTGCACAATCTGTCTTCAATGGTTTAACTGTCAAGTAGCTAAGCTGGTCAAACTTAGCTTAGGGTTAGGGTTTTATTGGACAAAAAGCATAACCAGCTTAAATTTCTTAAGTGGATAAATAGTCAAACTAGCAAAGGGAAAGTTAAACTGAAAAAATTGCAAACGGTGGAAACAGTCAAATGACACAAAATGCAGAAAGTAGCTGAGTTGGTTCAACCGGCTTACATGGACAAAATTCAACAACAAGCTAAATTGGTTCAAATGGTCTAAGTGATCAAATAATTGAAAACAGTGAAACGAAAAATTTTTAACTAAAGATATTGTCTCCACTGAAGATATTTATTCGAGGTGTATTTGTTTTTTCGGAAATTGAAATGATTGTGACTAATTGGTAATAGGATTACTTGTTGTCCAGTTCTGTCTGTAATCATACTCGTCATAAAGAAATCGTCCAATTTTGTTAATCACTCGTATGATTACAGACCCCAATATTCAGACCAACCACAATATTTCCTTTTTCACTGCTAAATCAAGCTGTTTTTAGCTTTCTAGAACCGAAAAAGTGTTTTTTTGCTAGTTTACTCTTGAGTTACACTGCCTTCAGTTTAAGTGCACTGAAAAGAGGTTTTTGCATCTCGCTAGCTAATCACACTTTATTTAGCTTTATTTTATTGTAAACAACGGTTTTGTTTTTAGGGGGGCTACACTACGCTGTTTTCAGCTTTTTTACACTGGTAAAAGCTTATCTGCCCGTTTGCAGCTGATCACTCTGATTATAGCTTTATTTCATTAAAAACAACGATTTTGCTTTTTTGTCGCTGTTTACGGCTTTTTTTTTCGTATCGGGAAAACGTTTTCTGCCTGTCACAGTTAATCATGTTGATTGAAGCTGTCTTACTCAAACAAACGTTTTTGCCTCGTTCTCGCTAAATTACCCTGTTTTCAGCTCCATAGTAGCAGAAACATGTTCTCGTTTGTTTGCAACTAAATTAGGCCGTTTTAAGCTTTATCGCGCGTAAAACATTTTTGCATCTGTTTGCCGATGAACTGTTTTTAGCATTATCACACTGGAAAGAGTTTACTGCCTATTTGCAGCTAGTAACGCTAATTTTAATTCGTTTCACTTCTTTGCCACTGATTAATGCTGGTTTAAGCTTTATTAAACCGAAAATAGGTTTTCTGCCTTTTTGCAGCTAGTCACGCTGTGTTTAGCTTTCTAGCAACGTAAAAAAGTATTCTGCCCGTGTACAGCTAATCACGCTGATTGTCACTTTATCTCAGTCAAAACAACAGTTTTTGTCTTTTCTTGCTAAATTACGCTTTTGTCTGCGTTATTGCACTGAAAACGTTTTTTCGATGCTTTGCTCTGAATCAAGCAGTTTTAAGCTTTATCTCAACAAGTGCTTGAAGCTTCATCTCACGGAACGCAACGTCTTTGCTCTTTCGTAGCCAAAGTATCCTGATTCTAGCTATATCTCACTCAAAACAAGGTTTTTTGCTTTTCTGGTGCTATATTACGCCCTGTTTGCTGCTTACAGGTTTAAGCAGCAAACAGGCAGAAACCTTTTTCCAGTGCAAAATAGCTGAAAACAGCGTAATTTAGCACCAAAAAGGAAAAACCTTGTTTTGAGTGAGATATAGCTAGAACCAGCGTGATCAGCTGGAAAGAAGCGAAAACCTTTTTCCAGGGCAGAAACGCTGAAAACAGCGTAATTTAGCGACAAAACAGCAAAAACCTTGTTTTGAGTGAGATATAGCAAAAATCGGGTGATTAGCTGTAAAGAGGCGAAAAACTTTTTATAATGCAAAAAAGCTGAAAACAGCGTAATTTAGCAACGAAACAGCAAAAACGTTGTTTTGAGTGTGATAAAGCTAAAATCAGTGAATTGGCTGCAAACAGAAAAAAAGCATCTTTTTCTGTGCAAAAGCTGAACTCAGCGTAACAGCAGCAAACAAGCAGAAAAACAAGAGGCTCGGATACACAGTAAGGAATGGCACGATTCGACAAGCTCTGGAAAATTTCATAGATGAGCCGAACGTGTCTGTGGTGGTCGCCATTTTGAATCTTTTTTCCCTTCTGCTAGAAGAAGAAGCTTTCACAGGGTTATTTTTTATTCATAATTTGTGTGCTACACACAATGTGAAATATTTCTTGATGTGTGGAGACGTTCAGGATAGCCCTGGTCCTTGTCGTAACAGCACTGGACGATCTCACTCTGATAACCACCGGACATCGAAGAATATACTTTGTTGTATGTCACTTAATGCAAGGTCAATCTACAATAAGCTGAACGAGTTCCATGACTTAGTGAAAATGAGAAATGTGGACATGGTGGCAGTTACTGAAACCTGGCTTCATCAAAGAATATTGGACACAGAAATTCTCGACTTAAATTATATTAATTTTCGTCGGGATAGACCAACTAGAACTGCGAATGACAACTCAACAATACTTGATTTACTTATCACTTCTGTTCCTGAATTTGTTAGGCACATTACAATTCTCTTAGGGGAATTTTTACTTTTTACTCTTGAAATCATTATTCTACTGAAGTACATCAAGCCATTGAAACGTCACGTTTACAACTATAAGGATACTCATTTTGACGGATTAGAAGAATTCTCAAATTATATTCCTTAGGATGTAGTTTACGATGAAAATGACATGTATTTTTCAACTGTCAAGTAGATGGTTTTTTTTTGCAGCTGTTAACGATTGTGTCCGTAAGATGAGATAAAATCAGCTAATAGTGCTCCATGGAATGATGCTGAAGTTCTTAATTCTGTTAGAAAGAAAGAGAGACTTAGAAAGCGGGACAAAAGGTGATCCTCTGAATATTACTGGGCAATATTTCGATTGCATCGTGCGAAACTCAAATCACTTATTAAATGGAAGCATAGGTGATATTTCAGAGGTCTCTCATCAACTGTGACAGAAAACCCTGAGCAATTCTGGGCTTATTATCAAGCTAAATACAAGAAAAAAAGAATTCCAACTTCTTTGAAAAACATTGGAGTGAAAGTCTCTGATGCTCAAGAAAACGCAGAACTATTCATTAACTACTTTAATTTAGTTTTCATGAGAGATGATTGTGTTCTCCTTCATGAGGACTATTTTTCAGTGACTTTGATAATGACAACCAGTCTTTAAGTAACATTACCATCTCACCATCTATGATCAGGGAATTTTTGGATCAGCTGAACACTGCCAAATCTTGTGGACCAGATGAAATATCACGTCTGTTGAAGAAATACTCAAAATTTTTGTCCATTCCTCTCTATTTTCAAGTCTCACGATAGAGATGGTTGAGAACTACAGAGGAATATCATTGCTGTGTATCATATCAAAAGTCCTTAAAAAAATGTGTGTTCTCATATGTTATCCCCTTCTTCCAACGGCAAATTTACAATCTGCAAGACGGCTTTGTTAGTAGACGCTCTTGTGTTACTAGTCTCTTCTGATCTACTCATGCTTTTGCTAAAGCGCTCGACGAAAGAAAGCAAGTTGACACTGTTTTTTGGATTATAGTAAGGTATTTGACTCTGTTTCATTTAACTTTTTATTGAAAGAGCTGCTTGATGTTAGTATGAGAGATAAACTGCTTTCCTGGTTTAGATCATATTTAACATGTAGACACCACAGAACAGCCATTGATGGTTGTGCATCGTCGTTGTTACCAATATTATCAGGAGTGCCTCAGGTTGTTTATAATTTATATAAATACGGCTCCTAAAGCTATACACTCAAGCATCCCTATACAGCTGTATGTTGATGATATGAAATGCTTCAGAATCATAGATAAGACCAATAATGTTCAACAACTACAAAGTGACCTGTCAAATCTAAACGATTGGTCAGCTGATCACTTCATGGAGTTTAATTTAAAGAAATGCAAGTATCTTGCAATCACAAGGAAAAAGAATATTGTGGATTCGACTTTTACACTTAATGGCTCACAGATTATCTCAGTTACAACTGAGAAAGACCTTAGTGTGCATGTTTCTACCAAGTTATCTAGGAATAATCACATTGACGTCATCATCAGTAAAGCCGACAAGATGCTGGGCATGATCAAAAGAACTTGTACCAATGAATGTGATCAGAAAACATTAATGATTTTATACAAATCACTTGTTCGATCACAGCTGGAGTATGCTTCACAGGTCTGGTCACCTTACACTAAAGAAAAGATCACTGCACTTGAGCGTGTACAAAGATGTGCAACTAAATTTACCCTGAAAACTGAGTTAAGTTATCCTGAGAGACTTGTCATGTTGATACTTTTACCTTTAGAATGTAGAAGAGAGATATTGGATCTTTGTTTTTTCTTTAAGAGCCTGAAAGGTTATATTGATTTCAATGTTTTGTCATATGTAGATTTTAAGACACCCAAATATAACATCAGAAATAGTGAAGCTACACTGGTGAAAGGCCTTTTCAAAACTAATGTTTTTAAACTTACTTTCCTCAATCCTATAATCGACCCGTGGAATTGCCTACCACTAGATATCAGAACATTTGAACATCTCTCATCATTTAAGAAAAGTATTAATGAATTTTTCTTAATAAATTCAACGTAAATAAGAATAGATTTTTATAATTGATTGATATATTGTCATGATATTTCATACTATTTGAGTAAACTTGTATAATTTTTTATGTATATATATATATATATATGTCTTTTAATTGAGGCAGAATCCTCGTATTCGGTATAAGCTGACTTAATTATTCAGCTCATGTGAGTTTTTTTCACTTTTTTTTTTTTTTTTTTTTAATTGTTAATTTACCTAGAGTTTGTAGATTAAAATGTGTATAATTAAAGTAGACTAAAAAAATTATACCAAAATAAAAACGTTTTCGGTGCGATAACGCTGAAAAGAGGATAATTTGACAACAAAAAAGCAAAAACGCTGTGTTCCATGAGATGAAGCTCAAACTATTTGATGAGATAAAGTTAAAAAACTGCTTGATTCAGAGCCAAACAAGCGAAAAAACGTTTTCTGTGCGATAACGCTGACAACAGCGTAATTTAGCAAGAATAGAGATTTGTGTGATATAGAGACAATTAGCGTGATTAGCTGCAAACAGGCAGAAACTGTTTTACGTTGCTACAATGCTAAGAACAGCGTCATTGACAACGTTTTGAGTGAGATAAAGTTTAAATTAGCGTGATTAGCTGCCAACGGGCAGATAAGCTTTTCCTAGTGTAAAAAGGTTGAAAACAGGGTAGTTTGGCCACAAAAAACCAAAACGGTTGTAACATTGAGATAAATCTAAAAACAGCGTGATTGTTTAGCAGGATACCACAACCTCTTTTCAGTGTACTTGAGCTAAAACAGCGTAGCTCAAGAGCAAAGAAGAAAAAAAACAAGTTTTCGGTACAAAATACATAATTAGGTGAAGTAGTTCAAACGGTAAGATAGTCAAACTATTGAAAACAGTATAGCTGCAAAATTCACACTACCTCTCTCAACAGGTTTGATTAGGTCAATCTGGTGAAATAGTCAAACCACCAAAGATAGGTAAGTACTTAAACTTAACAATCCTATCTCCATTGGTTGCAGTAGTTCAAATGATCAAACTAGCTTAAAGGGTTCATCCAAACAAAATGCATAACTAGGTTAGATAGCTCATACTGTGAAATAGTCCATTAAACTATCGCAAACAGTATAACTGCACAGTTTACAGAATCTATTTTAACTATTTAGACTAGTTCAAATTGTCAATCAAGCTTAAATTGTTTGAGTAGACAAAATTCTGAACTAGCTGAAATGGGTAAAGTGGACAAAACGCATAGGTAGCTTAAATGGTTGAAACGGCTAAATATCAATCGAGCGATGAAAGTTAAACTGTACAAATTGCACAATCTATATTATTAGTGGATTACTTTATATGGTCAAACTATCATAAATTCTTGAACTGAAAAATGCATAACTAGGTTGATAGGATCAACCGCACAAACTGCAAAATCTGGCTTAATTGGTCGGGGCGGTTCACATGGTTGAACTACCTTGAATGCTTCACCTGAACAAAGTGCATAACCAGTGTAATCCATTTAACTGCAAAGTTTGAACAATTTAGCTCAAATAATTCAACTAGTTTAACAGTCAAACTAGGGTTAACTGAAAAAAATTGCACAATCTATCTCAAATGATTAAACTACTTTAAATGGTCAAATTAACTTCAAAGAATAAACGGCACAAACTGCAGAGTCTATCTGAATTACTTGAAGTAGTTTACATGGTCATAATATTTTAATTGCTTCGACAGGTGGAATAGTCAAACCACCGAAGACAATTAAACTGCATAGAGTGCAAAACCTTTATTAATTGGTCAAGGAAGTTCAAATGGTCAAACTAGCTGATATGGCTCAACTAGACGAAAAGCATAACTATCTTAGTCGATTCAAATGCACAAACTTCACAATCTAGCTTCACTGGTTCAACTGTCAAGTAGCTAAGATGGTCAAACATAGCTTAGGATTAGGGTCATCAGACAAAAGACTTAAACTTAAACAGCTTAAGTGGCTAAATAGTCAGACTAGCATGGAGATAGTTAAACCGAAAAAACTGCAAATGACGGAAACAGTCAAACGGCACAAAATTCAGAGAGTAGCCGAGTTGGTTCAATCGGCTCTTATAGACAAAATTCACCAAAAACCTAAATTGGGTCTAAAGGTTTAAGTGACCAAACAAGCGAAAACAGTGAAACTCAAGCAAAACTGGACAAACTGGCTGAATTCACTTATTTGCTACCGAATTACGCCCTTTTTTCACATTAAAAAAAGTTTTTTCGTCTGTTTGCAGCTAATCACGCTGATTTTAGCTTTATTTCACTTAATGCAACGTTTGGGTTATTTTTCTTGTCAAACTATGCCTTTCTTAGCGTTTTCACACGAAAAACATGATCTCGTTTGTTTGCAGCTAAATTGGGCTGCTCTAGGCAAGATTTGACGGAAAGGAACCTTTTCCTTTTTTTGTTGCTAAACTACACTGTTTTTAGCTTTGTGACACCGAAAAGATGTTTCCGTTTTTTTGTTGCTAAATTTGCACTGTTTTATCTCTCCTCTCCAAGTCTTGTGTTAGTCCGACTTGCGGTACTTGTCAACTGTATCCTTTGGTCTGCTGATGCCTTCCTCCAAGTTCACTGGGTCTGTCACCAAATCGGCTTTTTCGGACACAAACTGGCATAAGTTCTGTCCATTTACTGCCAAGGGTATCGCGGCAGCTTTTCCCACAACTGGCGCAGAAAATTGGCTCTGCTCAAGTCATTCATGTAATGCATGCTTGTAATGGTGTTCGTTGCTTGCTCAAGGGCGATAAAAAAGTCTTGTAGCTCTGTTCCGTCATAACCATACCAACAGTAGTGCCAAACATCCAGGAAACCGCAACTGACCTTGACATCAGCACAGACGTTCCAACTAGGAGGGAAATCATCCAAGCCATTAATTCCCTGAAGAATGGAAAAGCTCTTGGCCATGATAGTCTAAATACCGGGCTGTTTAAAGCAAACCCTGAGCTTGCTGTAACCATTCTGACCCCCTTGTTTACAAAGATCTGGGAGCAGGAAAAAATTCCGACAGATTGGAGCAGAGGAGGGATAACCAAGATACAAAAGAAACGGTCTCTAAGTGATTGTAACAACTGGCGAGGAATTACCCTTTTGTCTGTGCCGAGTAAAATCTT